CAGATTTATGAGAGGATCTCAAGGCAGCTGGGACCATAGTCATCAAGAAAACAATTGGTAACACACTATTCTAAATGATTCAGAGGAGAACTGGGTGAAAGTGTTGTGGTCAAATGAGACCAAAATCAAGCTCTTTGGCATCAACTCAACTCGCCATGTTAGGAAGAGGAGGCGGAATGCTGTCTGTGACCCCAAGAACACCACCCCCACCATCAAACATGGAGGAGGAAACATTATGCTTTGGGGCTATTTTTCTGCTAAGGATACATGACTTCACCGCATCAAAGGGAGGATGGATGGGGCCATGTACAGTACTGTCAAATCTTGGGTGAGAACCTACTTCCCTCAGCCAGGGCATTGAAAATGGTCGTGGATGAGTATTCCAGCATGGCAATGACCCAAAACACACAGCCAAATCAACAAAGAAGTGGCTCAAACAGAAGCACATTAAGGTCTGGGAGTGGCCTAGCCAGTCTCTAAACCAGGGATCGGCAACCTTAAACACTCAAAGAGCCACTTGGACCCGTTTCTCACAGAAAACACTGGGAGCTGCAAAACCCTTTTGACATCTAAAATGAAAATAACACTGTATATATCCTTTTCTTACCTTTATGCTGTAGTGTGTTGCATTTATGTGAAATCAATGAACTGCTACAAAGAAAACAAATTTTTATGCAGGAGAAAGAGGGGAAAAAACTCTCCTTCATCCCAACAGGTGAAAATAATTTTAGTAGCTTATCTACCATCTTTAAATATAGTATAATTATCCCCATACCTCATCTCTTAATTTAAAAAAATAAAAATATTTCATTAAATCTTTACTAAATGTCCAGTAAGGACAACATATATTCATATTTTTCTCTCTCTTTCCTTTTCCTCTCCCTTTCTTTCTCTTTCTTTTCCCTCTCTCTTTCTTCTCTCTCTTCCCTCTCTCCCTTCTTCTTTCTCTTTCCCTCTCTTTCTCTTTCCTCTCCCTCTCTCTGTCTCTTTTTCTCTGTCTCTTTCCTCTCCCTCCCCCTCTTCTGGGATAACTCGGGGGGGTTACCTGTCTTGGTGTCCATTGCTCCCCTGAGGGGGGAGGAAGCAGAACCCAAAGGTCTTTTCTTGCTGTCTCTTCCTGGTTGAGTTGGGGGCTCCATCCCAGGACACGCTGGGCTCTGTGGACCCCCTTGGCGGGGCACGGGTCGGCCTTCCAGCACTGACCAGTGAGCAGCACAGCCAGCCCCCCTTGGAAGACCCCCAAAGCACTCAGCCGGGCTCCCTTCGGAGCAAAGACCTAGACCTGAGCAGAATCAGGAAGAGACACCCCAGGGTCTTACAGAAGACCCAATTCCCTGCAAAGCAACCTGCAGGATACTCAGGGGGGAAGCCCAGCACCGGGCTGTGGGGGGAGCTGGGCTCCCAGGACCCCGTCCCAAGGAGAGGACCCCCTCAACATGCGCTGATCCTTCCAGGTGGCCCTTCTTCTCTGGAGCTCCTACAGCACCCACCTTCCTCCCCCCTCAGCCCCGAGCCATGCTCCCTGGGAAGCCACGGGACCCTGGCAGGTGTGGTGGGGATGGGCTGGGGAGGGGTCCTCCTGCTCCAATTGGGTCCCCCCCTTTTCAGAAACAGCGCCTGAAAGGAAAGGATGGAACAAGCTTCCCCTGCGGGGGATCCGGCACTCATTGCCTACCTCCCTTTCCTGGGTGGGGGTCCCCCAGTGGATCCACCAGGCTGGTGAGAGGTCCCTTGAGAGAGCAGCTGCTGCCACCTCCCCTCCCATCTCCGGTGGGCTTCAGGGGAAGCGCAGGATTTGGGGGCAACTCTGAAGGGAGCACTTGACCCTAAACGGGGCAGACCCCTTTCCTGGGGCCGCAGCTTGCAGGAGGGCTGGCCCACTCAGTGGAGGCTCCAGCAGGCCACTCCTAGGGGGGATCCCAGGGCTGCCCCGCACTGCTCCCCAGCCACGTATGCCTTGGATGGAGCCAGCCCAGGAAAGGGACTTCCTGGCTGCGCTTCTCCCAGGGGGCCAGATGCCTGAGTGCAGGACCAATCAGGAGCCCCGCGAGGGGGCATGTCCGCATGAGAGAGAGAGAGAGAGAGAGAGAGAGAGAGAGAGAGAGAGAGAGAGAGAGAGCGCAAGTGCCTCTCTCTGTCTCTCTTTCTGCAAATGGCGGAGGACTGGGAGCTGCAGGAGAAGGCTGAAAGAGCCACATGCGGCTCCAGAGCCACGGGTTGCCGACCCGTGCTGTAGACCTTAATCCCATGGAAAATCTGTGAAGGGAGCTGAAGGTTTGAGCTGCCAAATGCCAGCCTTGAAACCTTAATGACTTGGAGAGGATCTGCAAAGAGGAGTGAGACAAACTCCCTCCTCAGATGTGGGCAAACCTGGTGGCCAACTACAAGAAACGTCTGACCTCTGTGATTGCCTACAAGGATTTTGCCAACAAGTACTAAGTCATGTTTTACAAAGGGGTCAAATACTTATTTCACTCATTAAAATTTATAATTTTTGTGAAATGCATTTTTCTAGATTTTTTTTGTTGTTATTCTATTTCTCACTGTTAAAATAAACCTATCATTAAAATTATAGACTGATCATTTCTGTGTCAGTGGGCAAATGTACAAAATCAGCAGGGGATTAAATACTTTCCCCCCCTCACTGTAATATGAATTAGAATGTGATAAGAGTAGTAAAAGGATTGATATGTAAATTGTAATATAGTTACACAGACACAAGTATACACAAATTTCTTTTACTCTGTATTTTTGCCATTATTTATACATTTGCTCTACTGAAATATAAATGACAGAACTTTGATTCCTCCCAAATTCAGATTCACAGTAGATGGAAAGATGCAATGTTTTAATATTAGTTGTTTATATAAAACATTTCCTCCCAAAATAACTATAAAAACTGTTCATACAAAAATAGATAATTTAATGATTTTATAGAAACAAAATTAAAATACAAATTATATTTTATGTTGTACATTTTTACTGACAGATAAAATTGGACTCTTCTAACAATGCAATATATAATCCTACAAAGAGATCTATGCAGAATATAAAAGGAAATGTCAGATATTATATTAAGCTTCAGTTTTATGTAGCTCATAAAGAATTTAGCATAAAAACATCTATGATAATATATTTGATTCATTTTTTTACTATCCCTTTTCTAAACTACACATTTATAGTTTAAGGAAAATGAACATGTATTCTACTTTGATAATATTTAACCTGTAATATATGCTCAAACAAATATAGTTGGAAATTTGGAATGCATCTTAATTAAGGACAATTCAACTAATATAACATAAAATAGATTATACTCAAAAAATAAATGTTTAATTCAAGAAACTGCTTTTGCAGTAATGATTATTTCAGTTATAAAATTCATTTCCAATAAAAATTTAGAGAATCATATGGATAAAATGTAGTACAATGTATTATAGCAATTTAAATATGGTAACAAGCATATTTTCCCAAACCATTAAGACAGTCTTCTATATTTATTAATCAACCCTCTCCTTCAATATGCACATATTAAATTACCTTTCTGCTCCACATTTAGTAAAGTATACCTAATTTATGAGAAATATTACTTCACTAGCAAAGAAATGATAGATTTCCAAATAGAAAAGTGAATTTTCTTAAATCAATTCATTAACAAATGGTATAGTTTTAAAAAAATCAGATTATATTTATATTCATCAATTCATCAGACAGACAGCCAGAAGACAGTCAGACAGAAGTCAAACTAGCTTCAAGATAGTTGGTCTCAGGGATCTTTCAAGTATGAAACTGAGTTATGGAAAGGGAAATCTACACTTTTGAGTTGTGCTATTTTTAAATATTTATACACTTATAGGACTTCAAAAGCATAAGAATCTTAGAAAAACAATTCTCAGGAGAAAGTTTATTATCATTTTAGATTGAGGTGTTGTATTTTTTTTTTTAAAGATTTGTTCACACACATTCCTTCCCAAATGGCATTAGAGGAAGTCAAGGTCCAAAAACTATATAATTTGGTTGGCCAGCAAGTCTTCCAATATTTGTGAATCTCTGCCCCCCAAAAAAGCAAAGACATTTTAAAACTATATAGGAACAGCAAAATCCACAATCCCGAGCATAAATGTATGCAACTTCCATACCCTAATTCTTTCAGAATGATGTAATCTCAGCACGAGAGAGAGAGAGAGAGAGAGAGAGAGAGAGAGAGAGAGAGAGAGAGAGAGAGAGAGAGAGAGAGAGAGAGAGAGAGAGAGAGAGAGAGAGGGCGAGAAGTAGGGTATATATGTACATTGCAAATGTATATTACCGTATAAATGTAACCAATATGTTCAGATCAAATCTTATTTTCTGTGTTACAGGATGTCTTAAATAAACAAAGATAAACTGCATTTTTATCTTTATCTGTAAGAATTTCATTACAAATTTTCTTATGGGTCAACTTCTTATTTTTTGTTTCTTACAACAGGGGTCCCCAACCCCCGGTCTACAGCATGCCAGCAACTGGTCCGCACAAACAAGTGAAGCCCCATTCATGGGATGCAGGTTGCAGTTTTGCAGATACAAAACTCTGGTATGTTGAAAAGCCTTTCTCCTTAGTACTGGTCCCTGGTACCCAAAAGGTTGGAGACCTCCGCCTTACAATATCACAAAAGTAAACAAAGGTATATAGTATTTTTCCCTGACCTGCAAGAATTCCAATACAAATTTTCATATGGGATTTACCCAGGGATTCTAAGATAATCACAATTGCAACCCTCTCAAATTTCACACTCTGTCTTACAGAGCAGAAAGCCACAAATTAGGGATACTAATATTAAAAGAGCAAAACCAAACAATACATTAAATACAGTGAATATTTTGCATTTTTAAAAAACTACAACCAGTATTTTCCAAGAAAACCATTCACAATTGTTCAAATAAATTAACCTGTAATTGTATAAGCTATTGTATTGTAATTTTATTTGTAAACAATGTAACAGTTCCAGTCTTCCACTATTCACCTTCTTGAATTGATAATATGAACCAGCTTCTGAATTTTTTCATTGTTTCTTAAAACATTAGCTCTCTTAGTATAAATCTTGTCTTCTTCATCTTTGATCAATTGATCCAACTCAGTAAGATCTATTTTTAAAGGTTCCACAACACCATCTGTGATTCTGAAAAAGATAAAAACAGCAAACTATACATTGTAAAATTAATGTAAATCTGTCCTGAATACTGTCTATCAGGGATCCCCAACCCCCGGGCTGCAGCCCACTACTGGGCTGAAGCCTATTCAAAATAGGGCTGCACAAGAGGTGGGCTGGTGTATGTGCGCAGCTCCATTTGCATGAGCAGCGCTCCAAAGGCTTCTTTTCTCTTGTGTGAGTGGGGCTGTGCATGCATGCACCAGCTCACCATTCATGTGGCCTGGTTCACCTCCCCCCCCCCAAAGCTGGGCTGCCAAGCCGCCTGCTGCCAAGAGAGCAAAGGCTGAGTGGGACAAACATGCCCTGCTCAGTTTTATTGATTCATTGAGGCTACCTGCGCAAGACACCTAATCCACTTTTGGAATGTCGGGAAACCTCAGTGAGTCTGAAGGAGCACAAGACTGCGCCCCTAAAGATTTCTCTTCTCCGTGCCAAAAGCTTTTGCAAACGGATGAAAGGCTTTGGGAGAGCAGTCTCGTGCTGCTTCAGGCCTTCCATCTCTTTGCAAAAGCTTTTGGCTTGGAGAAGCCTGAAGGAGTGTGAAATCACGCCCCAAAGATTTCTCTCTTGTGTGAGTGGAGCTGTTTGCATTGGTGCATGCCAGCCTAACACTCGTCTGGTTCCCCTCTCTTCACCCAAGCTGGGCCATCCAGCCACAAAGGCTGGGGACTGCTGCTGTATATAATTACATTTGATTCAAAGAAAATTGTAAGAAAATGAGCTCACAGCATATATACCGGTAATCCTCAGCTTACAACCATTTGTTTGAGGACTGTTAAAATTACAATGGCACTGAAGAAAGGGACTTGTGACTTCTGCCTGAAGTTCTGATTGTTGCAGTGCCCCTGTAGTCATGTGACCAAAATTCAGGCGCTTGGCAATGCATCCATCCTTATGTGCTATCTCCCTTGGACAATTCCACTGACTCTTCCTCTGAGGCCGGCTCAAGGGAGGATGAGTTCATTCCTGGCACATCAGGGACTGGGTTTATTAATGACCCTGAATGGCCAGCTGAAAGAGATTTACAGGAGGTTTCAGCTGAGGACAGCTTGCAGGGGCAAATGGTCAGTGAAGATGGTCAGAGCAGAGACAGGAGCAGCGGAGATCTGCCAGATTACTCAGGAGAAGACTCCACCTATCTTGATGGCTACACCGGAAAGCTATTTATCATGGCAGGCAGAGGGAGGCATTGTTGGGAACATGTTTGGTTTATGGCTGTGTGTTCTTTGTGCTTCCAGCTTGACTTCATGCCTTGGAGTATCTGAACTTCTCTTGCCTGGTGAGCTCTTGTGGACGTATTTCAGTTCAGCCTGATGGAATTAAGTTTGGTTGGTGGACATTTGTTGGAGCAACTTTCCATTTGTTTTATAGACTATTGGCTATTGCTTGGTGGATTAACCTTGGCCTGCTTGTGGCTGGATTTATTTGGGACAATTCTGAGGCTGGGTGAAGGGAATTGCTGGTGAAGGGAATAGTAATAAACCTTTCAAAACCACACTTTTGTCCATGTGTAAATGGGGCATCAAAGTTTCTTCCCAGCCCACTTTCTCCAGAAGAAAAGCCCTGTTTGTTGGATATTGTGGAGCAATTCAAGCTGACAATGCCCAGCTGGTCCAGAAACTCTCCTTTCCAATCAGTTGGTGCAATTGCAGGCATCTGAACGTTCATGAGCCCGCCACTAAGTGCCCAGTTGCTATCCCAGATAAGTTTGATGGGAACTGTGCCCAATTCCCAGGTTTTTTGGACAATGTCAGCCATTCATGAGCCTGAGACTGGATAATTTTCAAACTGAGAAGGTGGGGTTCATTATCTATCTCTTGATGGGACCAACAGCCTGGTGAGTGACCTGGCTCCTCACACAGTCCAGTCAGTTGTTGGATGACTATGCTGGTTTTTGCCTCCAAATGAAGGCCATGTTAGAAGACCCTGTCAAGGTGCAAACAGCTAATTGGCAGCTGCAGGAGTTGAAGCAGGGGCATCACCCAGTAAGCAAATACATCTCTGACTTCTGGCTTATCAGTCAGGATTGTGAGGAGGCCCTAATGGACCATTTCCAGGAGGGCTTGTCCTTTGAGATTTTGGACGAGTTGGCCTGGACAGACTGTCCTAGCACTGTGCAAGCCTTAATGCACCTGTGCTTATGCATAGATGGTCAACTCCAGCAGCGAAGGGTGCGGCTATGAAGGGTGGTCACTGCAATACCCACAGAGTTTTGCAAGGAGCCTCAAACCCTGAGGAACCCATGCAAGTGGGAGGGGCCCAGATGCACCTTACAGAGGCAGAAAAGGATCGGCGGCGCAGAGTAGGCTTGCGCCTGTACTGTGGAGGCCCCAGTCACTTAGCTGCCAAGTGTCCCACAAAGAAAACACTAGCAAAGGCAGGAAACTTCCCCTGCCCAACTCAAATGGCTCACCAGATCAGGCCAGGTGTTAATGCCGCTGATTACACCAACTCAACATTTGGTGGTGGCCATGACGTTGACTCTGACTGGAGGTGAGAAAGTTCTCATGCAAGCCATGGTATCCTTGGCAATGACCATGAACTTCATGAGTACCACTTTTGCCACAAAGTGGACGGTACCACAGCATAAGGTAGCCCCGCCTATTTTGATGGAAACCATTGACAGCCATCCACTTCAGGCGGGTCCTGTAGCAACGTGTACCGAGTCTCTGCAGATGCGGATGGAGCGGTTGAAGTTCTATGTGGTGGCTGCTCCACATTTTTCAATACTGCTGGGACTGGAATGGCTCCAAGCATATTACCCACAGATTGTGTGGTTGGATGGGGTCATTTAGCTGAATAATCCTAAGTATCATTCTCATTGGCTTCATGTATGTGCAGCGGAGAAATCACCCACTTTGTCTTTCGATTTTCCCTTGGAAATCGTAGATTTTGCCGACATGTTTGGGGAGAAAGAGGCCTAGCAGCTCCCACCACATCAGCCCTACAATTGTCCTATCAACCTGGTTCCAAATGCCAAGCTTCCAGTGGTTCAGCTTTATTCTTTGTTCGAGCCTGAGCTCGAGGCCCTCAAAGACTCTGTTGAGAAGAACGTCCATCGACGTCCCCTTTGGCAGCTCTGCTCCTCTTTGTAAAAAAAAAGTCAGGGGAACTGAGACTTTGTTGTGATTACTGTAAGCTCAACGGCATTACCATGAAGAACCGGTACCTGCTTCTGCTAATTTCAGAACTCATGGAGCGGTTAAGGCAGGCATGGATCTTCACGAAATTGGACTTGCGGGGGGCTTAAAATTTGTTGAGAATCTGCAAAGAGGATGAGTAGAAGCTGGTTTCTATACCTGGTGTGGACATTTTGAATACACGGTAATGCTGTTTGGACTCACCAATGTCCCTGCTGTGTTCATGCATTTCATGCATGACGTGTTTCAGGATCTCTTGGACACCTTTGTGGTAATCTACTTAGATGACATCCTGGGTTGTCGGCCAAAGAACATTGGTTCCATGTGTGAAGTTCCAGTGCTAGCGAGAAAACCATCTCTTTGCAAAGTGCAAGAAGTGCCATTTTGCACAAACCACCATTGACTTTTTGGGCCACTGGATTTCACCTAAGGGCATTGCCATGGACCTAAAAAGATCAAGGCCCTGCAGTCTTGGCAGCCTCTGCTTTGAGTGAAGGACATCCAGAGACTTCTGGGGTTTGCAAATTATTATTGGACATTTATTCCACGGTTTGCTGTGATGACTTGGTTGCTGCAGAAAGGAGTGCTGTTCACATGGGAGGGTCGGTTGAGCAGCATGCCTTCAAGTTTCTGAAGAAGGCTTTTTCTACGGACCCCATTCTTCAACATCCCAACTTGTTGGGACCGTTCAAGGTGGAGACAAACACATTGGATGTTGCAGTGGGGGTAGTGTTCCTACAGGCGCCCTTGAACTCAAAGCAGCTTTTCCTTGTGCTTACTACTCATGCAAGCTCAACCCTGCTAAGTGAAACTATACACTGGGATAAGGAGTTGCTGGTGGTCAAGGTGGCATTTGAGGTGTGGCGGTGCCACTTAGAAGGGGCTCAGCACCAAATTAAAGTGTGGATGGGTGATCGGAAGCACCTGCAGACGGCCAGGAAGCTCACCCAGTGGTAGATCTGATGGTCTCTCTTCTTCACTTGCTTTGAGTAACTTATACTCTGGGAGGTCTTCTTCATGGTCGTTGCCCCTCCAAGGCGACTTTCAACCCCTTTCAGGGTCCCTGGTGGGAGAAAACCAGACGGCTTTGGGAGTGATCTCCCCGCACGTCCGCCAGCGCTGCAATCCGGAACCAGAAGCCTCCACTGAGTTCCTGATGTTAATTTGCTGATGAAACCATCTGATCATTACATAGTGAAAACATTTGCTGTACCCTATTCAATGGAATACTTGAAAATGGAATTTCAGAAATTGGGTCATAAGATTTTTGTACATCAGTCTTTTCTGGCAAGAATTACTGAGACCTTTGCAAGAATAAGGAATATTACAATGTTTTACTTAAATAACTGCAAGCAGCTTTTGTACAACAAAGATTTGATTACTTACCTTCAAGATAGCAAATTCAATGTTGTAGTTATGGATCCAGTGTCTCCATGTGGTCAAATTGTGGCTGAGTATTTATCCATCCCTTCTCTTTTCTACTTACGTGGACTTCCATGTGGTTTAGATTCTGAGGCAACTAAGTGTCCAAACCCACATTCCTATATCCCCAAATTCTATACAGGCAGTACTGATCATATGACATTTAATCAACGAGTAAATAATTTTTTATTTGGTTCATTTCAGTTCATGGTGTGTTACTTCGTTTATTCACCATTTGAAGTTTTGATCAAGGAATTCCTGCATTGAGATATGACGGTACTAGAGCTATATAGCTAAGCTTCAATTTGGCTTCTTCGTTATGACTTCATATTTGAATATCCAAGGCCTATCATGCCAAATATGGTTTTCATTGGGGGTATAAACTGTGCAAAGGAGAATCCATTA